ACACGAAACTTTTTCCCAACTCTAGCTAATGGCATAAGACTCTTTTTTTTTAAGAGGTTGGATATTTAAAAATATAAGGCATTTTTAGTCTTTCAAGATAAAACCATTACCTTTTTTTTTCAAAATTATTCCTATTGAATAAATCATTTTAAATTGTTCCTATTGAATAAATCATTTTATATTTATTTTAGGGTGAAACACCCTATTAAATAAGAGTAAATATGAAAAGATAGGGTTAGTTTAAAGATAAGTAACCACTTTATTGAAAGATGAAATTTACTTAAAAATGCTTTATATTTTTTAAAGAGGGAGTATGAACAATGGATAATTATTTAGTATATATTAAAAAACCTAAAAGAAAAAAGGTATTTTAGTAAATGTACATAGAAAATTAATTACATATAAAAACCTTGGGATTGCATGATGATTTATGTAATTGATGGGACTTTGAGATATTTTAATTTGTTACGTGAGACTTTGAAGTAATGCTTCCTAACCTTTAGACTTAAAAAATCATGTTTACTTAAATACAGAGGAACTGATGTCATAATTTTTGTTTAATAGAAATAAACATTTAATAATTAAGGAAAATTCTTTTTAATGTATTTTAAAATTAAATACTCCATCTATTAAAAAATATAATGTATTTTTAAATAATTTTTACCCCTCAATGAAGTTATTTACTTTCAAATTAATTCTATCTTTTCATATTTACTCTTATTAAATATCTTATAATAAATATAAAATTATTTATCAATAAAAATAATTTTAAAAAAATAATAATTATATTTTGAAAGATTAACATTTTTTTATATTTTTAAATATTTAACTTTTTAAAAAATAAACAAAGTATTTTTACGTTGAACTTTGAACCAAATCTACCAAAAAATAAAAAGATTTTAGAGTAGGTTCTGGGTTTATCGTAATTACCTAGGACATTGGTCTTTTCCAATTGTTTTGGAAATTGAAACTTAATTGTGTCATGATCGAAACACATGCCTTGTGATGGGTCAAATCAAGCATCATAAAAATTTTGTGTAATTTACTAGTATGTGCCAGTCCCAAGCCCGGGTAAAGGAGGAGGGTTGTGTTAGGCCATCAACAGCCAATGTAAAACTTTGTTGAATCTATCATGAACATGAACAATAGACGTTATAATGTTAATGCTAGGTCGTTGCCCGTAAGTAACGCGCTGTATGGCTCGAGTACAGTAATAAGTGAGTTAAAGCCGCTGCATCGGTGCCCGGATGTAGTGTTAAATGAGCAAGGGCTATCGCATTATTTTAGACGCGCGCGACTAAAGAGGTTAGTCCATGAGAGCAAAATTAAATTTGGTACTTAAAATGTTAGGACATTGAATTATAAATCTGTAGAGGTTGTAGGGGTTATGATTCAAAGAAAAATTAATATCCTTTGCTTGCAAGAAACAAAATGGCGTGGAGAAGAAGCTAAGGATATTCAAGGTTTCAAACTTTGGTATACAGGAAAAGTAAGTGCACGCAATGGAGTAGGCATCATTATGGATAAGGAGTGGAAGAAGAATGTTGTAGAAGTTAGTAGAATTGGAGACAGAATTATTTCCTTAAAAATGATAACTAGACGTGAGACTGTTAATATTGTTAACGCTTATGCGCCACAAGTCGAGACAGAAGCCAGTCTTAAGGAATTATTTTGGGAGGATCTAGAGGGGTTGATTCGACACATATCACAGAGTGAAAAGATTTTTATTGGAGGAGACTTTAATGGGCATGTTGGGAGGGAGGCTGGTCAATATACGAGGGTGCATGGTGGTTTTGGTTTTGGAGAGCTAAATAATGAAGGACAATCTCTTCTTGATTTCTCATTGGCGTATGATTTTAAGATTGCCAACACTTGTTTCAAGAAGAGAGATGAGCATCTCATCACTTACAAAAGTGGAGCCTCAAGGTCACAGATTGATTTTCTTTTGGTTAAGAACACAGATAGAAGACTTTATAAAAATTGCAAGGTGATCCCCGAAGATGCTGTAACGACACAACATAGGGTCCTAGTCCTTAATGTGTGTATTATGAGTAAAATCCAAAAGCGTCGACAAGTAGTAGCACCAAGGATTAGGTGGTGGCAATTAAAAGGTGAAAAGCAAGATATTTTCAAGCAAAATCTTTTGGACAAAGGAATTTGAGAATCTCAGGGAAGTGCTAACATCATGTGGGAGGATATGGCTAAAAAGATACGGGAGGTTGCAAAAGTAGTTTTTTGGAGAATCAAAAGGTTCTATTCCGAGAGATAAGGAGTCTTGGTGGTGGAATAATAGTGTACAGGACAAAATCAAGTATAAGAAGAACTGTTTTAAAGCCATACATTTGTGTAACAATGAGAAAAATTGGGAGAGGCACCGTATGGCTAAGAAGAAAATTAAGAGAGCTGTGGATGAAGCTCGTTCTAAAGCTTTTGAAGAATTTTATAAGAGCCTTGAGACGAAGGAAGGAGAATGAAACATTTATAAGATTGCCAAGAGTAAGGAAAGAAAATCAAGGGATCTAGAACAGGTAAGGTGTGTTAAGGATGAAGAGGGAAGAATTTTAGTTATAGATGATGAAATTAAAAATAGATGGGAGACTTACTTTTTCAAACTTTTCAATGATGGAGAGGGTTCATCTAGTAATTTGGAGGATTTAGTAACTGGTGAAGGAGAACAAAATTTGTCATTCTATCGAATAATACGTGATAAGGAGGTAAAGGAAGCTCTTAAGAAAATGGCAAATGGTAGAGCCAACGGATCTGATTGTATATCTATTGAAGCGTGAAAATGTTTAGGTGAAGAAGGGGTAAGATAGTTAATTAAGTTATTTAATGTGATCTCACGGTCCAAGAAAATGCCTGATGAGTGGAGGAGAAGTACATTAATTCCTATTTATAAAAATAATGGAGATATTCAGAATTGTACTAACTATAGAGAGATTAAACTCATGAGCCACACAATGAAATTGTGGGAGAAAGTAATTGAGCACAGGTTGAGATTGGAGACAAGTATTTCTGAGAATCAGTTTGGTTTTATGCTAGGTAGATCAACTACAGAAGCAATTTATCTACTAAGGGGATTAATGGAAAAGTATCGTTGTAAAGATAAAGATTTACACATGGTTTTTATTGATTTGGAAAAAGCTTATGACCGTATACTAAGAGAAGTGCTTTGGAAAGCGTTGGAAAAAAAGGGAGTACGGATTGCTTATGTTAAAGCCATACAAGATATGTATAAGGGGGTAAAAACTAGTATAAGAACGCCTAGTGGTCAAACAAAGAATTTTCCTATAAAGATTGGACTACATTAGGAATCATCTCTGAGTTCTTATCTATTCAACTTGATCCTAAACGTTTTGACAGAACATATTCAAGGGGAAATTCCCAAATATATGCTCTTCGCGGATGATATAGTTCTTATAGCAGAGATAAGAGAAGAGGTTAATTGCAAACTTGAGTTATGGAGGAAGACATTGGAGTCAAAAGATTTCCGTCTGAGTAGGAGTAAAATGAAATATTTATATTGTAAATTTGGTAAGAGACTATTCAACAATAATTTAGAAGTGAAATTGGGAGATCAAATTATACCTCAAGTGGAAAAGTTTAGGTATTTGGGAGCCCTTATTCAAAATGATGGCGAAATCAGTAGAGATATTTCACATAGGATTCAAGCTGGGTGATTTAATTGGAGAAAAGCTAAAGGAGTTATTTACGACAGTAAGATGCCTAATAAACTTAAAGGAAAGTTTTATCACACCGATATAAGACCGGCAATGTTATATAGTAGTGAATGTTGGGCTCTAACGGGACAGCAAGAGCATAAAGTTGGAGTAGCAGAGATGAAAATGCTACGATGGATGTACAGACATACACGTAAAGATAACATTCGAAATGAGCACGTACGCGAAAAAGTGAGGGTAGCACCTATTGAGGAAAAAATGGTAGAAAATCAATTGAGATGGTTTGGGCATGTATAAAGAAGACCAAGGGAGGCACCAATGAGAAGAATGGAACATATAACTTTGAATCCGATTAAGAGGGGTAGAGGAAGGCCTAAGAGAACACTTGTGGAAGTTGTTGAACGCGATCTCTTAATTAATAATATTCCTAAAAGCTTGATAAATGATAGAGCACAATAACGTCTTGCAATCCATGTAACCGACCCCACCTAGTGAGATAAAGGCTTGTTGTTGTTGTTTTGTACTAGTATGTGCCAGGCGTGGCCCTTGACATTACTTGTTGCATCGTAATTATGAGTGATGCTCAAAATGAGATATAACATAAATGAAAATGGAATGGGATTTTTTTTAAAGTGAAAAAAGAATTTCATTAATCATCAAGGTGTACAGCAACAAAAGGCCAATTACATTAAAATGTTATAAATTTGATAGAATTCAATAGTGTGATCAACTATTGCTCTAACATTTACTAAAATGTTATCTACATTGAAAGATTCATTAGTAAAAATATTGTCATGGCATGCATCCCATAATTTCCAACCTATGATAGTAGTGCCGATCTTCCAAGAAATAATGAGAAATGATACTTGCACCCCTCCATAGAAAGAATAACAAAAAAAGCGAGTAGAGATAAGGAAGGCATGATACACCATGCAAATCTCAATTTTTATGTATAGAAAGGAATTATTTTTCAACCATTTATACCAAAATAGCGAAATCCTGGTGAAGTCGATCTCCCTCTAAATCAAAACAATCGTCCATTTTAATACAACATAGGACATCAAATAATTAACATGTAGACTTGAAGCGAGATATTTTTTATTTATCTACAAAGGGACACATGATTATATAACCTTTTTTTAATTCAACAGAAATAAAAATGCAATGACTTATAGTCTTATACTATAGAAAATAGTTTTTAGTATATTTCAAAATCGAATAATATTTTTATGTATGACTTTTTCAAGTGCTCGAGAAAAAACGCGGAGAAAAACCTCCCAAATTTTAAGAAGATTGAACTCTAATCATGCATTTAAACACGCACCCACGCACGGGCCTTGAGGGGGAAGGCAGGAAGCTGAGTTAGAAAAGCGGGGCGATTAGACTCGCTCTGACGTCGAAACGGCTTTCAGGGGCTGGGGGCGTCTGTAATGGAAAAGATGTTCAAGCCGAAGCTTCCCTTCATGCTTCTTCTTTAGGCCTTGAAAGATCATCAGATATGCGACGTTTTCTACGCCAAGTTATCACACTCTCAGGCAAAACCCGCCGTATTTCCCACTCCTACTCTCTCCCCAACCCTCTACCTCCCCACATTTATAATCCCCCTCTTCACCCTTTTCATTCATGGCGCTCGGAGCATGCCGTTTCCGGGATCTTCGGCGGGTTCCTCTCTGGCCCAGTGTTCGCTCGTCACTTCATGTCCAATTCGTCCAACCCTCTCTTCAGGAATTCTGGCGGAAGAGTTGGAGGTTTTAGACCGAAGCTTCTCAAAGCTCAATTTCATGACAGGAGATTTGATGTCAATCGTAGCTTTCGTTCTTACCGTGGTAGATGGTATAAAACCTTGCTTTTCTTGCCGCAATAGTTAAGGATTTAAGATTAAATGAGGAGTGCATTTCCTTTTCATTTTATTTCTTTCCTTTCTGTTTACGTTCTCTTAGTGGCTGCGAATAAATTTAGGTTGTGTTTTGAAGGGAAGTGCTGATGATATTGTTCTTTAATTTCTTATGGTTTGGTTTGTTTTCCATGTGAGAATTAATTTGTTCTTATAGCGTATGTTAGCACATTGCTGCCAAGTGATATAATAGTGTGCAAAGCGAATTTAGCAATTTCTCGATGCCAGCATATTTATACTAATGTTTGGTTTCTCTTTAAACCCTTTATAGTGGAAAATTGATTAGGTAAACTTAATCGCCTTTTTATTCTGGAAACATTATGTTTGTTAGTAATAATTGATTGCTCGGGGGAAGAAAAGAAAATGGAGGCAGAAAAAGAACAGATGAAGCTCCAACACGCGCGCGCGCACCCACCCACCCACCCCATAACATGCCAATGCCATTTTAGCATATAATGTGTGGCTATACCTCATATCTTCCCCCCTGTTAAATTTGACGATACAGATCTTATTGCTATATTCTTATGCTTTATATCTTTATTGCATAATAAAAGGCTTTATCCAATGCCCTTCCAACCGTTCATTTATTTGCGTACGTGTTAACTAGCAACTACTTCAATCTTTACAATATGCATTTCATGAGCAACAAGTATGATGTGGTCGATAAAACTGTCTCGATTACTGTTAATTTGTCCTTTTTATTCTTCTACTCTTTTCAATAGATCTGTGCAAATTAAAGGGGTTTTAACTTTGCGTTACCAGTTGTTGGTGGAAAATCCAAAACTTTGATGTCTACATGTGTTGCAATTCAGTAATATTTTTTTCTCCTGCTTGCAGGAGATCATGGTTCAAAGGATTAACCGCTAATGACGTGGTTTTGGGCTTGATTATAGCTAATGTTGTTGTCTTTTTAGCATGGAGGATAGCAAATGAAAAGTTTATGTCAGAAAACTTTACAGTAAGTTTCTTGCTTTATAAAATATGAGTTATATGATGATTCCAAGGGTAGATAGTATTTGTGAGAGGCAGTGGACGCAAGACCCTAGGCCAGTAGTGTTATAGGGTATTTTTGTCTCTCAACTATTACTAGGTATTCTAAATTGTTTATTGGAGCAATGTTGCCTCTCAAGTGTCAAAGTCATTGCAATGTTAGCACTTGACTAATAGATATTATTTTTGATCGTTAACTTTAGATTGACTTTGGATCAAAGATCATTTTTCCCCTAAAGTATTCATTGAAGAGTAACTAGCATGCTAAATTTTAATAATCTGCACCAATTGCTTCCCCTGTTTTCTTTCATTGAAACAAATTGTGTTGTGTTTAAAGTGTCACATGTTTTTTCAACTAGGTATTTATCATGAAAAAAAGTCTTTCAACCTGAATTAACTATTAATTAGCAATGCTACCACTTGTTATATGTCTTTCATAACTTGCTAACTAGACATTTGTTTGTCCAGGAAAAAAATCTCTTAGCCTGTATTAATGGTCAGCATCAAATCATGATGCATATGCTTTGATTACAAGAAATATAAGGACAAAATAGATGTCATTTGTCTTGCCAATTAAAGACTTGTCGATAAGAAAATAGCCCACACTAAATGTTAATTGGCGGTATTATCGCAGATTATATATCTTTATCTTGGTTAGTAACAAATAACAAATATCTATACTAGCGTAAACATATATAACCTGTGACAGTACCGTTAGTTGATCATTAGTACAAATTGACAAGCTTTTTTTTTTTTTTTTAAACTAATAAAAACCTAGTTGACAAGCCATTTGACATCCTAAACATGATGCACCATCAGCATGTTTTGATTAAAAAGCAATAGGGATGTCAATTGCTCCAAATTATTAAATTTTGGGGTGCCAATTACTCCTCTATGAATAATTTAGGGGCAAAAATGCTCCTTAATCTAAAGTCAATCAAATGTTAAAGGTCAACATCAATGTCTATTAGTTAAGGGGTAGCAATGCAGTAATTTTGATACTTGAGGGGTGATATTGCTCCAACAAATAGTTTAAAATACCTTGTGCTCCTCATGAAATAGTTTAAGGGTAAAAATGCTGCTCTAATTTATATACACTAACAACAGCAATAAGCCTCATCCTACTAGGTGGGGGCGGCTACATGGATTGTACAACCCTATTGTGTTCTATCATTTATCAAACCTTTAACTCTAAATTATATAAAGTATGAAAATGGTAGGAAAAAGATTTGAAAATGAGTTAAGGGGGCTCAACATTATAGAGGTAGTTGGAGCAAATATTCAAAACTTATCATACTTATTTGTGACTTTCCCTTAAGTTAGTGGGGATGTTTGCCCATCCTTAGCATGTAGGTCCACCACTGTGTTAGACCATTGTTTTGTACCATATTTCCATCTTTTGTGGTATAACAAAGCTTATCACTTTAAGTGGGGTCGGTTATGTGGATTGCATGATGCTATGGTGCTTTATTAATAACCAAATGTTTGGATATATTGTTAATCAAAAGGTTCCTTTCAATAACTTCATTAAGTGTTTACTTTGTGGTAGATGCACTAAATTTTTGTTGGAAGTTTCTTACAATGTGCTAATTGATATTTCAATGTGGTATTAGCATACAATATAATAACTTTCATATCAGTCTTTGTATTGCGTATTCTTGTGGTACTTAAGTATCATGGATCTTTTCTCTTGAGATCAGTTTTAAGAGTGGGATCTGGATTACTCATGATTACATAGGTCTCTACTTTGTTACCATAGTTAGATCAACTTCCATCAAAAGAGCTACCTGTAGTGAGTGCAGCCTGGTAGGATTGTCTCTGAGTGCAGCTGTTGAGGATGTTAGCTCTCCAATGGTTGTTACTAGGGAGTTCAACATTGAGCAGCCACAAGTAATTCTTGTGGTACTCAAGTAGCTTGCATATCTACTTAGAAGTTAGTTTTTTTTTTTTTTTTTGGATTGGTTGTCCATAATTGTTCTGGCCTATGTCCGATTGCTCATGTGGTTGGTCGTAAGTTTGATAGCTAGCTCATTATCCTTGCTATATACGTTGATGGCAGACTTGAGTGACATGTATTGTTTCTAGCAGTTTACTTTGAGGACTATACTTCATATGGATTGCTAACTGAAGTGCTTTCTTTGAGCAGATCTCGTTGCACAATCTGAAATGTGGACGCTTGCACACTTTGGTAACCAATGCATTCAGCCACATTGACAGTATGCATATCATTAATAACATGATTGGACTCTACTTCTTTGGGACTAATGTGAGTTTATCTGTTCTAAAATGGAATATTTAGCCTTGATATGTCTTTCCTGAACTTGTCTCTTCCTTCTTCCTTTTTTAGATAATACATAAGTATCTCACAACTTTGTATTGGGAGAATGACAGTCAGGTCTCAAAACAATTAATTAATATCAGTTAAGTCCCCAATAAATTTTTTTGAAAAGTAAGCTGAAAATATCGATCCAAATTATTATAAATTCAAGAGTTTCAATTACAGATAAATGTTTAAATATCAAATGTAATTTTTAGATTGTAACAGAAATTTCTATTTGTAAATGTTTGAATTGATATTTATAATTCATTTTGTAAAGAAAATTTATCAGAGATTTAACTGGTATTAATTCACTGTTTTGGGACCTAATTGTCATTCTCCTTTTTGTATTTGTAGAAAAGCCATAAGTAATGGTCCGTTAATTATGGGATACAATTTAAAGATATTCATATTCTTGAAAGGGAAATATTTTTAGGGAGAAACTTGTCTAAGTCTAAGCTTCGCTGAGCATGCATACACTTAGGCTAATGCACTTTATTGGCACTTTCAAGTTTCTTTCGAGCATGAAGAACTAAATCTCTTTAGAATTGCAGAACAAGCTTATACTTATGATAGGCCAGTTGTTTTTTAATAACATTAATTATGCTATTTTATTTATTCTCTTCAATTTAGATTTATAACACTGAATAGGGATTCATGCCTTACGTTTCCATAGATCTTAGTTATTTTTGCTGGATTATCCTCTCTTTTTTTGCCAGGGTCTTGTGTTGTGATGGATAGGTTGCATTTCAATTTGATGAAAGTTTCACGCTGTCACCATCTTTAGGTGTAGATTTGAGGAAATGTTTTTCATGGGGGAAAAAAAGAGGAACTGTTTTGTTTTCTTTTTATGGGAAAGAAAGGTAACCCTCAAGATGCGGTGATTGTTGTGCTTGTAGTCTAATGAGTAAAGCAAAATGGGATGAAGTTTGATGCATAAAATTTGAAGACTGATTTGGTAGATAGAAAGGTGATATAATGGTAGGCAGTACATTTGATAGTTAATGCCATATCCGCCTTCTTTGTTGGCGTACTTAATTAATAATTTTTTATCTGCTATTAAGATATTATATTTTTGTATTTCAAGGGTGTTTAAGGGGTCTCGATTAAAGTTTAGCATTATTGTTACTTGCATATTTTCTGGATTTCTTTCTTTTTTGGTCTTTTTCTTATTTCCTGTTATCAATGATTTCCTTCTTCAATTGGCTTCTAATACTACACTTATTCCTGTTGGCAGATTGGAAGAGCCTTAGGACCTGAGTACTTGCTGAAGTTGTATCTTGCTGGGGCAGTTGTTGGTTCAGTTTTTTACTTGGCCCATCAAGCCTACAAGGCACAAACATCAGAGGTCTGATGATGATAACAAGGATTAAAATATCCACTGATCTCTTGCCACAGTAGATATAACATTTTCACATTTTCTGGGTTAATGAAAATAAACAAAATCTAAATTTGAACACTACCACAGCAAGAAGAAAAGATAAATGTAAATTTATACTCATCCTTCATTAACACCTTTTCCAAATATCTGCTTTGAATGTTTGGTGCAGTTTGGTTCAGAAATAACTTTCATAATGACATGGAAAGGGAGCAAATGTAAAGAAAGAGCAAAATAAAAGGGATCCTTTTAATAATATACCATGTCCATGACAATAAATATTGTGCCTGAGGTGAAATGTGGTAAAATGCATTAAACAGTTTCATAATAGTTTATTCTCTTGCTGGTTGGGACCTAAAATATTTGGTTGAATATTTTACATAGCAAGACATGTGATGAGTTCTCAGTTTTTTAAAGCGAGTTTTAACCTTTCTTTTTGTTCTGATACAGGGTTGGAGGTGTGTGGAGGTTTCAAAATATGCACTGGTAGGCTCCTCACAAACCACCTCTTTATTCTTCAAGGAGGGTAGCAGCTTGTCTGATAATAGATGATATTAGGATGACGAATGGCCTGTCAACTATATTCTCAACAAACAATGCATATTCTGGGAATCATACTGCTTTTATCTGTTTAGATTTTTTGGGATGATTTTTCCATTCATAATTTGAGAATAGAAAAAATTCTTCTCTGGTTTATAAGTTGTCAAAGTTGTTGATTTTATCTTATTTTGGTTATAGAATTTCTTGTCTTTTGGGCCTGCGTATTTATTTTTGCCAGTTATTTATCACACGATGGCCTGGCTACAATTAATTATCTGCCAGCTATGGAAACTCAACCAAGCTTTCCAAGTTACTGGAAGCGTCTATCTTAATTATGCAGCGTCTTTTTTAAAAAAATTAAATTGTTTTCAACATTTAATAGGTAAATCTTCAAATTTCTTCTACACGTAAAGATTGAAAATAGCTGTTTTATTGGAACATTGTTCAATCCTGACTGCATTAATTAATATAAATAATATCTCCCCATGTTTAGGGTGCTAGTGGAGCTGTGAATGCAATTGTTCTACTTAGTATATTCCTCTTTCCGAGGCAAACCCTTTACGTTAACTTCATAATACCAGTTCCTGCTATTTTGCTGGTAAGATCTTCTCAAGCTTATGTTAGTTCAGCTATGTGAATGAGATTGATAGTGCACATCCTTACAGATCTTTTTATATTGCTCACTATTAATCTAGGGCATATATTTGATTGGGAGTGACGTGTTGAACATTATAAAGGTATGCCGGACTCTCTCTAGACCTACTTTGTTGTTTGCCAACATCTTTCCTAGCAGTTTTCTGCTTAAGCAGTTTATCTTTTAAAGGAAATGATCAGTTAATCATATACTTGTGTTTCAATGACTTTAAATTAATTTCATCAATCTGTTTTAGAACTTATTGTGTCATGACCCAAACACATGCCTTGCGATTGGTCTACTAATCAAATGTGGTGAAAATTGCTGTGTAATCACTAGTTTGTGCCATGCCTGTCTAACATCGTAATGATGCCTGACCTCATTTGATGCTCCAAATGGTATGCAACAGAAATGAAATTGGAATAAAAAAAGCGACTTTGTAGGTGAGAAATGATAATTGTACTCCTTGATAGCAAGACAGACAAAAGTTGAGTAATGAAAGTCATAATACATATTGTATATTTCATGTTCTTTACGAGGAAGTATTTTTTAACCATTCATACCAAAGTGGGCGAAATTCTGGAGGAGTCAATCTCCCTTTGACTTTGGGTATGGTTAGTTGAAAAGGGGGGAGTAGAGAGGGATGGAAATTGGCAGTTTATCTAAATATCTTCCTAGGTTCCCTTTTCTGCCTTTTGACCCTTTTTTGATGCTCACCGAGCATGGCATTTAGGATATGTTTGGATGGCAAAGCATGGAAAGTTTAGAATTTTAAATTCTTGATTTCACTATCTATTTCGTGAGAGAATATTAAAAACGCGTGTTTTTTGTTCACATTACAGGGAGACAGTCGTATATCAGGGTCTGCACATTTGGGGGGTGCTGCTGCTGCAGCCGCTGCTTGGGCTCGAATTCGGAGAGGAAGATTCTAATAACTGTGCAAACCTCAGTTTTCCTTTGTTCGGTACCTTGCATTGAATTATTGATGCTATGATTAGGTCTTGTCTTTTGCTTTTAGCTAACCTCACGGATAGTGTTCGGGGATCCTTCAAAAGTTTAGCGCTTTGTAAGCTAATTAGTAAGTTTGCCAATGCCTTGAGTTCAAATGACGTATATTAACGCTGCCATGTGATGACTGATAAATGAGCATTTGCCCTTTCAGCTGACATGATCTGGATTGATATTTTTTAAACAAAAAAAGAAATTGTATTTTGATGTTTAGGCTTTGATTTTTTTATTTTTTTCATGGGACAGTATTTTGAGGTTTGTTTATACTCAATTGGATTTATCTTTGAAGTTATCATGCAGTAAGGGTTCGGTTTGAATTCCTAGAAATTTGTTTCTCATATTGAATATTTTTTCTGGGGTAACCAATGTTTGATTTTATTTTTTATTTTGGTAAAAACCAATATTCGAGTTGTATTATTAAAACTATGCTATACTAGATATGGGCTTTTAGATTGAGTTGTGCTCTATTTTATATGGTTGTGTTGGCTATTTTTTGTGAGATGGTGACATGAAGTTGTTGTACTAAAGGCTTAAAATTATGAGAAAAAAACTTATACGCTTAATTATATATATTTAAGATATTTATTTTTAATAAAATCAAGACATGTAAATTTTTTTATAATTTATTATATAATAAATTTTTGTTATTAATAATAATATTATTAATATATTAAAGCCTACCTGTCTTGATTTAATTAAATATAATAAAAATATTTTAAGTATATAAGGTCAGGAATTAAGGCTTACCCAAATCATACTACTTATCTATGTGAGAATGTGGCAGATTTGAAACAACTATTATTCGGGATTTTTATATTAATTTCTCCAAAATGGAATGTACAAAGACAATTAAATTAAATGAATGGAAATAAATGTACAGCGCAATCACTATGAAAATAAATGAGGAGACAGATGCGGTCCGCCTAAGTATTTTTCTTACTAACAAATACAATAGACTATATGAGCTCATGGAGCCGGGTCAATGAGCTAGGCGCTAAATCAGTAGCATGAGGAGCTAGAACCAGTACATGGTGATTGGCTAATTGAATGCTTGTTGGTGGATTTAATATGCAAAAAGCTGAATGAATGGAGTGCAGGCTACTATTGCAAAGGAAGTTTTGCGGCAGTTTGTCCGCTCGTTCGTGTTTTTTTTTTTTTTTCTTTTTTTTTTTAAAATATCCTACATCCGTCACTTTCGCTGGCCGTTCACACACAAAATTATCCAATATATATAGATTTTGATTACATGGATATTTAAATTTCTGAAATCAAAACTTACATTATATTTTTTTTATATTAAAAAATTTAGGTGAATTAGATTTTAGGAGTTCACAAGGTCAAGGCATGCGTCTAAGTTCAAAAAGTATTTACTTATAAATTACCCACCAATAAAATCCTTGCATCAGCAATGAAATTTAATTCCATAACTTTATTGGTTGTGAATTAAATTCTTATTAATGGAATTAATTTTTTTTTAGTACTTACATTATATTTTTTTTAGAAAAAGTACTTCGAGCATGTTTTATCTTTTATATATATATATATATATATAAATACTTCGAACATACTAGATTGGAGAGACATGCTTGTTTTCTTTATTTTAAAAATTCAATATCATATCATTCTTTAATTCACTAGCTTTAAACATTTAATAGTTAATTGTTGATGGCCTAACCATATAAAAAAAAAAATTGATAACCTAAGTATTCAAATTTATATATTTACACAGAATTGTTTTATTAAATAATTTATTTTTTTTTTGAGGTACCTCACAGCTAGCAACTATAAAATTAATTTCTCAAAAAATTTAAGCACTATTTAAGAAGTTATTCTCTCTCAGATAATATTTTCCATACACACTTTTAAGAATTGAATGCTGTAATGATATTTAAAGAGTTAAGGGGCCTGGAACGCCATCATCCATGAATCATACCACATCTGCTTGATTTTTGTTAAATAATTCTATCCAAAATTGTGTTACTAAAACTATATTGGACTGGTAAATTATTTCAAGTAGAAATTTTGTGGATGCAATTGGGCCAAAAAAAAAAAAGGATATGAAACGTGGAATCCGGATGTGGGTTTGAAGAACGTCATCTAAGGTGGTGATGGAGCAAGTGTTTTGGATCTCAATCCCCTTTTATTCAACTTCTGTCGTACCAGAGTATATTCTTTTAAGGGGGCATTACTGTCAAGTTCTTCACGATGATTTTAAATACTCTAAAGTCTTATAAAATACGTCAATTGTGGTTAAGTCCCAAGTATAATCTCTTACCTTATTTTATTTTTAAATTCTAATAAACTACTCCACCTTCCTGATCTCTGTCCCTTTGGTACAATCGCACCAGCACCAACACCAACACACCTTTCTTCCTGTTTCATCTCTCTCTCGCTCAGCATTCTCCTTCTTCACAATCACTCCCCCTTCTTCTTCTCATGAGACTTGCTTTCTTCTCTACTCACTGCTCCCACCATTGTTCATCTCTTACCCTGTTTTCTTCCTCCGCCAAGACAAATTGCTATCCACCCACGGACGCTACCTCTGTCTTCAACCGCAATCGTCGGGAAGAGAAGGTGATGCGCTGGAAAATCCTGCCGACATTGACCTTGCAACCCATTTCCCCTTCTCGAATACCATTAACTCAAATGAAAACAGTAGCCTCGACATCACCTCCAACAAGATCAGCGTGTCCCTCACCTTGTCCTCTGACATGGACCCATAAATTAGAGAGGTGAAGAAAGCGGAGTGACTTATTAAAAACAAGGTATTTTTGTAATTGCACAATTAAATTTATTAACAACTAAGGAATTTATACATTTTATGGAACTTTAGAATTTTTAAAATCATTGTGAGGGACTTGGCAATAATTCTCTTATTTTTTAGCCAACATACCTTAATCTTGGTAGAATGGATTATGATGGCTTGAACATGAATTCTTGAATTTGAGTTCATGTGTATAAAAAAAAAAACCTTTAAAAAAGTTATCTTCAATTAAATCCAACAAACTTAAATCTAATCTAATCATATATCAATACAACAATAATAATAAACCTTATCTCACTAAGTGTAATTGGTTACATATATTGTTCTATGTCATAACTATTGTACTCTATTATTTATTAAGTTTTTAAAAATATTATTAATTAAAAAATTTTAATCAATCATTTTCATAAGTATTATCTTAAACATTCATTTACCCTTCTTTACATGATTTAAAATTTTTTACCATTTTGTAGCAATCATATATCTATATATATTTAAAAGGAAATTATGTTTTTAGCCTTCACATCTACCCAAAAAAAAAAAAAAAAAAAACAACGGCAACAACGTCTCTTCCTCGAAATTGTGAGATGAGCACGAAACTCAAATACCTAAAATTAATGTTAGAATATGTTTGATTTCATGATCAAAATTATGTTACATAAGATTAATTGAATTAATATTGAGGGTGAAAACTTAAAGACGACTTTACTAATAAACTATGATGATAGATTTGCAACTCAACAAATTAGGAAAAAAAAAACTTATAAAAATTAATAAATTAAAATACACCAAGCAGCTTTAGTATTTTCATCTTGGGGTTGAGGATTTGCGTGAGGGAAAAATAAATGTAGGCTATGATCTCCATGGCGAGAGCACCAAGCTGATTTGTTGGATAAAAAGTGGCAGCATAAAGCAAATTCCCAGGAGCTGAAGCAGAACAAGAATACCTGCGGGTTGAACATGGAAGCAGGAAGACCGATCAGAGTCTGCGAGGCTGGTGGCTGACGTCAATGGGACGAAGATAGGTATGAAAAAATCGCATCCTCTCTCGCCACTACTGCCCGACACAATCGTTCTTCTGCCATTAACACTGACTGAGGTCGGAGGAAGAAGACGCTTCAGTTTTCTCCTCCTGTGCCATGTTATCTTGGCTTTGTGTTTCGGTTTGGATTCGTTTTTCTGATATTGCAATTACTGGTATGATTATAAAATAAAAGTAGTGTGTGTTTTCATGGACAAGGAGTCCAGATTCATCATTGTTTCCGTGAGGGACGTAGATGTGCTGACTCGCTCGCAAGGAACGCTCAGACTATGACCTTGTCTTTTTGTAATCTGTCATCGTATTTATTCCAGTCTTTTGCACTGAACTTCATGAGGCAGATTTGAGGGGTGCCAGTATCAACCATATTGCCTAACTTTTCTCAAGCTTCGCGGGTGTTTGTTTGTTTGTTTGTTTTTTTAGTTAACCAAAAGCAAATTTGTTTAGTAAAACAATAACAACAACAACAAGCCTTTGTCCCACTAGATAGGGTCGGCTACATGGATTGCAACACGCTATTGTGCTCTATCATTTATCAAGCTTTTAAGAATATTATTAATTAACAGATCGTGTTCAATAACTTTCAAAAGTGTTCTCTTAAGCCTTCCTCTACCTCTCTTAATCGGACTCAAAGTTAAATTTGTTTAGTAAAAATTATTTTTATAAAAATTAATTATTATAATAAAATTTGTATTTAAACATATTTTTTAAAAGTTAATTTGATAAATAAAAAATTATTTTGACTTATATATAACAAAAACTGATTTTAAATATACAATCATCAGAAAATATATTGACTTTTATGATTTATAATTTATATTATATAAATGCTTCAGAAATGTTTAAAAAAATATATGTAATAAAGATTTTAAATAATATAAAATTTGGTATATTAAATAATAAGGATAAAAAATATAAAGTTTAACATATTAAACAAAAATTATATAAGTAATTAAATAATATTAATATTAAAAAGTAACATAATTAATTATTTAATTCATATAATATTTTTTTATAATTTATTTTTAAAAAAATTTTGTTGCGAATCTAGCTATTATAAATTTGATCTATCAAAAACTTATATGCATTTTTTTTAAATAAAAATTATGGGTGCTATGGTCATATAAAAAGTAAGGAGAGGTTATGTTTCAAAAGTACATCTAAAAAACTCTCTGGATAAATTAATAAGAGCTTTTTTGAATAGACTTTTGAAATGAATTTAAAAAAAATGTAGAAAATGAAACAAATTTGAATTACTAAAATTTCCAAAAATCCTTCTCAAAAGTTAACCCTTAGCTTGCCACTTTGAATTTAAAAAAACAGAAAACATGATGACTGTTTCTTTTTTATGTTTCGATTTTTTTTCCCCTCCACTGTTTGCTTTAATTTTTAATGAAAAGACAAATTTTAAGAAAATATGTTTATCTGGCAAAAAAAAAAAAATATGTTTAAATTCGTTTAGCATGAAACGACATACCCTAATTGCCGTGCATCCCGCCTTTCCCCTCCGGGTTCAGCTGCTTTCCCTCCCTCTCACGGTCGCAGGTACTTTTTCCTCTTATTCTGCATTCTCTTCTTCTTGACGTTGGTCCACTTAGTTATTTTGTGAAGATGACGAGAGATTATTGGTTCTTCCCTTAGTGAGCAAATATGCAAATGCATTTTCCGTTCGATTTATTCCGTTGGGTCCTTCAATGAAAGCGTTGCAAACGTGGAGTGGATTTTCTCTGGCACTTATTTTATGCCTCTGTTGGTGCTGGTCTTATTAAACTCCGTTAGTTTTCTGGTAAAATTGATATGTCTTTTGTGGAATCGAAGATCCTCACCGCTTCTGGTTTTTGAATTGGGGGGGGGGGGGACGGCAAGAAGTGTGTGCTGCAACTTTCTTTTTCATACTAATTTAGTTTTCCCTTCGCAATGATGGGAAGCATTTAATAGTTTTGGGAAGCATTTAATGAATTCTACTTCTTTGGGCATTTAGCAAACAGCCATTTCGATCCTTTACTTGAGATAGATACTTAGATCAGTAAGGTAAAAGAAAAGGGAAGTTATACTTCCTGAAAAATATAATGGTTGAAGTGTGAATAAGATGGTTCATAGGGTAACTTATGCAGCTTTTGGTGGAGGAGGTCTTGAATAATTTATACAGTAAAAAAGGTCATACGTAAGTTTGTCCTGTGATAACTACTTCAGTTCGTTTGCTGTAAACTAAAGAAGTAAATCCTTGAGTGGGTGAGGTAATTACATTAAATATAAAGATAAAGTTCCTGATTTCTTCTTGACGAAAAACTACTAATTTCTTGAATTTTCCCTGGATAAATCTTTATGGAGATTGATGCTACTATAATATGTTGTGTGAAAATATGGCGATGACTGTGTGCAGAGGTAAGCTTGAGAGTGAAAGTTAAATGGAAGATAAGGCGTGAGACAGAATAATGTTACTGAAAACTATATTGGACTTTATGGTGTTTTAATAGATATCGTTTCAAATGAAATTTCTAGACCTGCTACGGCTTTACCTAAACACATCCAGTTCAATGGTTTTTGATAGATCCAGTGATCAGGCGGAGTCAGGAACAAAACAAAAGAAAGAACAATTTGCTTGAAAATGCCAAACTTGGGTCAATGACCGTGACAAGTTCAGTAGTGAGCATAGATAATCATTCTACTGTGCCAGGAGGCTCCTTTTCAACTGAAACCTCTCCAGCTACTTTGGCTGTGCCTCCAACACATCGAGATGAACACTCTCTGGATTCTGTAATGAGGCGATCTCAGGTAGAAAATGCATCAAAAGAGAAGAATGTGCATGAAAATTCCACAGATAAATCCCAGACCATGACCAGTGCAGAAGTAAGCTTGAAAAAGAAAAGAAGAAAGAAGACGCAAGCAGAAGGACACGATGCTATTAAAAGCAATGATAATCTTTCTGCACTACCGAAAGATGCCTTTTCAACTGAAACCTCTATGGCTGCTTTGGCTGTGTCTCCAACACATTCAGATGAACACTCCCTAGATTCTGTAATGAGGCAATCTCAGGATGAAAATGCATCAAAAGAGAAGAATGTGTGTGAAAATTCCACAGATAAATGTCAGACCATGATCAGTGCAGAAGTAAGCTTGAAAAAGAAAAGAAGAAAGAAGAGGCGAGTGGAAGGACACGATGCTATTAAAAGCAATGATAATCTTGCTGCAGTATCAAAAGATGCCTTTCCAACTGAAACTTCTGCAGCTGCTTTGGCTGTGCCTCCAACACATCCAGATGAACACTCTCTGGATTCTGTAATGAGGCAATCTCAGGATGAAAATGCATCAAAAGAGAAGAATGTGCGTGAAAATTCCACAGATAAATGTCAGACCATGATCAGTGCAGAAGTAAGCTTGAAAAAGAAAAGAAGAAAGAAGAGGCTAGTGGAAGAACACAATGCTATTAAAAGCAATGATAATCTTTCTGCAGTATCAAAAGATGCCTTTTCAACTGAAACTTCTGCAGCTGCTTTGGCTGTGCCTCCAACACATTCAGATGAACACTCCCTGGATTCTGTAATGAGGCAATCTCAGGATGAAAATGCATCAAAAGAGAAGAATGTGCGTGAAAATTCCACAGATAAATCTCAGACCATGACTGGTGCAGAAGTAAGCTTGAAAAAGAAAAGAAGAAAGAAGAGGCGAGCAGAAGGACATGATGCTATTAAAAGCAATGATAATCTTTCTGCTGTACCAAAAGATGCCTTTTCAACTGAAACCTCTATGGCTGCTTTGGCTGTGTCTCCAACACATTCAGATGAACACTCCCTAGATTCTGTAATGAGGCAATGTCAGGATGAAAATGCATCAAAAGAGAAGAATGTGCATGAAATTTCCACAAGTAAATCTCAGACCATGACCAGTGCAGAAGTAAGCTTGAAAAAGAAAAGAAGAAGAAAGAAGAGGCAAGCTGAAGGACATGATGCTATTAAAAGCAAAGATAATCTTTCTGCAGTACCAAAAGAGGCCTTTTCAACTGAAACCTCTTCAACTCCTTTGGCTGTGCCTCCAACACTTCCAGATGAACACTCTCTAGATTCTTCGATGAGGCAAGCTGAGGCTGAAAATGCATCCAAAGAAGAGAATGTAATTGAAAATGCCTCAGACGGATCTCAGATCATGACAAGTGCAGAAGTATGCTTGGGAAAGAAAAGAAGAAAGAAGAGGCAAGAGGAAGGACATGATGCTATTAAAAGCAATGATAATCTTTCTGCAGTACCAAAAGATGCCTTTTCAACTGAAACCTCTACAGCTGCTTTGGCTGTACCTCCGGAACATCCAGCTGAACAATATGTAGGTTCTGTGATGAGGCAATCTCAGGTTGAAAATGCGTTAAATGAGAAGAATGTGCTTGAAAATGCCTCAGATAAATCTCAGACCATGACAAGTGGAGAAGTAAGCTTGAAAAAGAAAAGAAGAAAGAAGAGGCAAGAAGAAGGACATGATGCTATTAAAAGCAACAATAATATTTCTGCAATACCAAAAGATGCCTTTTCAACTGAAACCTCTACAGCTGCTTTGGCTGTGCCTTTGGAACATCCAGATGAACAGTCTCTAGATTCTGTGATGAGGCAATCTCAGGTTGAAAATGTGTTAAATGAGAAGAATGTCCTTGAAAATGCCTCAGATAAATCTCAGATCACGATAAGTGTAGAAGTTAGCTCAAGAAAGAAAAGAAAAAGGAAGAAGTGGCAAGAGAAAGGGCTTGATGCTAGTGAAAGCAATGATAATCTTTCTGCTGTTCCAAAAGACACCGTTTCAGTTGAAACTTCTACAGCTGTTATGGTTATGCCTCGAACACATCCATTTCAACCCTCTGTAGATCCATTAAGAAGGCAATTTCTGGCTGAAAATGAAGTAAGGGAGAATTGTGTGCTTCAACATGCCACAGATGGGTATCTAGCCATGATGAATATAGATGTAAATTCAAGTAAGAAAGGTAAAAAGCAGAAGAGGAAGAAGGCAAGACATGATTGCATAGAGACCAATGTTAATCATTTTGGCGTCCTGAAAGATAACACATCACTGGATACTTCTACACGTACTCTGGTTCTGCCCCCTCTACATTCAGGTCAATACCCCATGGGTCCAGTAATGAGACTGTCTCAGGAAGCAAATGAAGAAGTGCAGAATATGATTGCAAAGCCCACAGATGGGTCTACAGCCATGGCCAATGAAGAAGTAAGTTCAAAAAAGAAAAATAAAAAGAGGAAGAGGAGAAAGGCTGGATGTAACAACATTGAATGTGATACTAATCATTCTGAAGTTCCAAAAGATACATTTTCACCTGAAACTTGTACACCTACTTTGGATGTGCCTTCACAATTTCCAGCTCTGGATCCAGTAATGAGTCAATGTCAGGAAGAAAACCAAGGAAAGGAGCTGAATATGGTTGAAAAGGCTACAGATGGATCTCCAGCTATGACAAGTGTGGAAGGGAAATCAAGAAAGAAAAATAAAGGGAGGATGAGGAAGGAGACAAGACATGATTCTTTACAAAGCAATACCAATCTTTGTGGTGTTTCGGAAGGTACCATTTCAACTGAAACTTCTCCTGCTTTGTTTGTGCTTTCACCTCAACCTCCTCATTTCTTATCAATCTTTAGCCTATAAATTATTGCAGTTTCAACTCTTAATATTGTTTTTCTTTTTATGAATCAACTCTAATATTATAGATTGTTCTGTAAAAAAAGATTAACCTAATGAAGAAACATGTTCATCCAGTAGTTTATTGCGTCATAGAAATTTTTGAACCCTGTGCAGAGGAATAAGACTTAATACCTATCTTGGTAGTATAGTGCTTACAAAAGCCCTGTTCATTATAACCTGGAACCAATCATGGAGGATGATAATTGGGATAATTCACTTGCATTTTGTGGTGAATACTTGGCAGTTGACTCAGGAATTGTTGAAAACAAAGTTTCAAATTATCAGGTTCTCTTAAATCCTTGAGCTTCATTAGAAGAAATGATGTTAACAGCTGAGAATAGCTGTGAGCGATGATCTGTGCCTGAAGTGTCTGCATTGGATATCCCTGAAGTTTAATTTGATGACAAAAAAGTAGTGGAAAGTTGGATTGTTTCTGGGTTACAAGTTGTGTATGTCTTCTGCAGTTGACATTTCTCATTCAACCTTAGTCAGCAAGCATGATTGTTCAAACGTATCACGTTTTCCACTTGGTAGAGCCATATCAAGCTACTCAAAAAGGAAGCTTCTTGTACTTGATCTTAATGGGCTGCTTGCCGACTTTGTCCTTGGGGTTCCTAAGGGATTTAAACGGGACACAAAGATACACAACAAATCAGGTCATGATCATCAAATATCTAATCTCCTCACGTCTTTGGCCTTCATGTCAATCGGCATTTTCATTTGATTGACTGCTGTGATGCTTCCTTTCTGCAGTTTTCAAGAGGCCCTTTTGTGATGATTTTCTGCAGTTCTGTTTTGACAAATTTCATGTCGGTATTTGGTCATCAAGAAAACGGTATTTATCAATCTATGAATGCCTTTACCTTATCACTTGCGACTGTTTATGTCATCTTAATTGGCAACAATGCATGTAAATCATCGAGTTGTAGAAGTTGGAAGCAGATTGGTTTGTAAATAACAGAAGTGTTTAGTGGTTTCAAGTAGTTAGAGATTATCTGCCTGACTTGCCATTCCACTCACAGCCTTAGAATAAAAGTGAGCATTGTACTTGCAGGTTGTTGTTGGTTTTGGTGCTTTCTTATATTTTCCATCTCTTCTCTCTTCTCTGGTTAACTTGCACATGGCAGTTTTTCACTTATGGTTAGAATTTTAGCATTATTTTTCACTTTATAAGTTAGTGCTTGCTTAGCCTTGACACTTGCATATAATTGCTTGCAGGCAAAACGTTGATGCTGCAATCAAACTTCTTGTGGGGGTTTCAGCATCCAAACTACTTTTTGCCTGGGTAAGATATTCTCTAGTTTCCAGCAGCAGATTTATGGTCAACTTGATCAGTCAATCAAATTGTAGAAATGTCAATCTCATGTATTTGTAATGGATTTGCATTTTACTTTTTTTACTTTAATGTTGTTTAGTTGATGCAGTGGGTTTTTTTACTTAGATTTTTGTTGTCTCTGTTGCTCAGTTGCTATGAATGATAGGGAGTCTTCCTAATGAATGTATTTACTTTCTCCTAATCCTTCTTGCCATTTTTTTTGGTCTATATGGTCTGTTAAATATTGTCACATGAACTTGTTAATGTGAATTTTTTTACTTTTGCAGTTTGATGACTATTTTCCTTTAGTTTTATGGGAAAAAAATCCTTTACCATAAAATAAAAATTGAATTGCTCAGCTGTAATCAGGAGCGTATTAGAAGAATATAAAGCATCAGTTATTGCTTCAAACCTTGACCCAAAGTAAAAGGCAGAACAAGGCTCTTGATTTGCAGTCGGCTCTTCTGTGCATTTCTTTTATTTTACATTTATGTGAAGGTCTGGATGCTCTTTTGATTGGTTTTCACCTATTTGATTTTTCTCAGATCTTTGCTACCATAATGAATTTTACTTGTGCAGCCAAGCTGACTTGTTTGTGTATTCTTTTGTGGAGTACTTTCCATTTAATTAAACGTTCTTTCTGTTACAACAAAATAGAAGCATTCTGGTAATTGTGGTTGACAACTCTATTCATTCAAGTATCAATTTCATTTTTGGGCTAAATTGGTGTTGGTTGAATATTTTGAAAATTAACTGCTGTATGGTCAAATAAATATTGTTAAAGATGCAGCTCATTTTGTTTACTTGGCGGATGAGATCCAGCTGATTAAATATGATTATTGTTGGAAATCGTTCACTTTTAGATGAAATTTTAGCTTGCTGAGTTTTACTATGATTGGTTTTTGCAGGATCAAAGACACTGTACTATGACAACATTCCAGACCATCGAGGACAGAAACAAGCCCCTTATGTTGAAGGAACTCAGGAAGTTGTGGGAAAAGTGTAGGCGTGATCTTCCATGGGAGAAGGGGGAGTTCAATGAGACAAACACTTTGTTGTTGGATGACTCCCCTTACAAGGCGATATTGAATCCAGTAAGCTGCTCTTTGATTTCCTTCCGTAAAATTAGGCTTCAATTTTTTGAATCATGTTTTTTCTGCAAATGTGTTTCTTTCTACTTATGCAAATTATATTCAGATGCACACAGCAGTATTTCCTTATTCTTATCAGTACAGCGACACCAATGACACATCATTAGGTGAGACAGACTTCTATAATCCTCTCCCGCATCAAATTGTTGTCTTATGTCCACGGATTGTTATTGCAGTATACATTCTTTTCTGAATAATAAATGCTTTAAAACATCATTGATAGGCGGCTAAGATTGATTGTGTTGCTTACTGATTGTCATGCTGGGATCATGCTTATTGTTCCCTGCCAACCATTGTGACCTGAAATTCCTGATAACTTGCATGAACTTTTCCGTTAATTTCTTTTATGGATACGTTGAACTAGCCCTTCAAATTCTTCCCACGTCTTCTCTTTTACATTTGCGAGTTTCTCCAGTTTAAAGGATCTTGGAACTGCAAGGTTCCCTCAGACATGAGGAAGAAAAATATTTAGTTAACCACTTTCTTTCCTTCTCTCCCCTTGCCGCTAGCTTTTGGGATTCCTTCCATTCTCTTTCCTCCGGCTTTTCTGAGTTCAAACATATCCACACCTATTCCATTTCTGATATTGCAGGACCTGGAGGTGATCTTCGTGTTTATCTTGAAGGATTGGCCATGGCTGAGAATGTTCAGGAGTACGTGGCTTCTCATCCATTTGGTCAACCACCCATAACAGAATCAAGCCCACATTGGGATTTTTATTGTCTAGTTAGAGATCAAAGCTTACAAAGGCGTGGTCGTCTGTAGCGCCATCCATTGAATTTTCATTTTAGTATTCTCTTGCCATAATTTTTTTTTTTCCTTCTGGGATATAATTTTCTCATATTCATACTATCGGTTCAGATTTGATCTTTGTCAAGCCTAATTAAAAATAGCTTTGCTAACAGGATTTTTTCCCCCATCCACAAGGTTCAGACCTGGACCATGATATAATTTTTACTTTAGCATTTGATTTGATGGAGATGAATTTTCAACATTGGAAGGTCTCATCATCATATATTCTTTCATTTCTCGTTGCTTAGTCTTGCAGTGTCTTTTATGTTATTGTAACTATGTTTTAACCATGTCAATGTTTATTGTCTTTTCAAAGCAGTAATATGAAGATTATTTTTTATTTTCAAAAGTATTCTCCATTTCATGCTATTTTCCGCACCTTGACAAGATTAAAGTTGGACTTCAACTGCAGAGTCAGTTCAGTTGTGAACAACACAACATAATAACCCACCTCGATTGAAAGTGCTAAACTCAGGTATTGTCATTGATACTTCATCTACAAAGGGAGTCACTGATTTGTATCATCCTTCACTGTAAATTATATCAATGATGAAAACTAAATAAATGTGAAAGGTGCATGTAAATGAATCAAGTGTCTCCACTGAACCGAAGGAGATTTGAGCCTTATGAAGAAGTCATGTATTAGAGTCATGAGGGCCCTTGAATAAGAACATGCTGATCTGAGTTTGCAATGTGTGAATCCTTGTAAATCTTTCGCATGTGCTGGTTGTTGTATTGCTGGAATGCTGCAACAACGTCCTCGACAGTTCAAAATTCAAACCGATATTCTTGAACCTAAAGATTCTCACCCTCCGGAGGATCAAAGAACATATTCGAAAGTAAAACAAATCCTCCCCCTTTTATTTTAAGCATCGACCACAGCTCAAGTTTGTTGTTTGACTCGTGATCAAGTCCATGTCAATCATTTGGGTGCCTAATCTTCTTATGACTCCTGGCCTTTCAAAGCTGAAATGTTAGATTCCAAATTTTACCCTCTTCTTGGGTTATGTAATCGCTATACTTCTAAGTGGTCATACGCTGCCCAAATCTAACCCAAAAAAAAAGAAAAGAAAAGAAAAGAAAACAGTTGGCCGATGGGAATTGTAATTAGACCTTGTTGAGCTCAAGTTTGATAAGCTGGGGCAACTCCTGAGCTTAGTCACACATTAATGCGTTGTTTTAGTCTTTTATGTATTGTTGATTGGGAAGGGGGGGGGGGAAGAGTCTTGCGCGCGCGCGGGGGATCTGGATCACTTGTATTCGACGTCAAACACAAATCATTTATATTAAATTGGGTTGGTCTAAATTTTCTTGGGAAGACAATGGGAGCATTCAAATTTGGAAGCCATGATATTAAGTGTGACCAGGAAAATGAATTTAATTTATTATGTTGTATTGTGGTGATTAACGTTTAACAATGGTTAGTAACTAATTAAATTCCCTACAATACATGCATGATGGTAATTAAAATATACATACTCAGTTGTCCCATGAAACCCCATCTCCACTGAAACGCTTATCTTCTCTCTCACACGCACACAATCATCGCCAACTCGATCATGACGGTTTGTTTTGTTGAGCTTTAATTACTGGTTAATGAAAATGTAGGTATGGCAGTGTGTATAAATATATCACAGCATGCTGATAGATAATAAAACAGAGTATAAATTAAAGCAATAAAAGGCCATTATTTTATGTCAGTATATATCATTTTCATCGTCACTGTCACCATCTCAAGATCACCTTCATGCAGATGCAGATAGTTGGTAGTGACAGTTAAGCCATTCTGTAACTCAACTACCATTTCTTCACAGCTTCTGATATATATCAACGAGAATGCTGGCATGTGCTTCTCTGTGTTTTCATTTCCATGTGCATCCACCTACTGAAACAGCATCTTCTTTTCTTCTCGTCTTTTTACGCTTTGGCCCACTTATTTTGTGCGTGCGTGCGTGCGTGTGTATTCTGGTTTCATTTTCTACCATAAGCTAGAAAATGGTCTCCCTTCGTTGTTGGGGTTTGTCTGCAAATGAAACCGAATATATGCATGATTGTGTGCTTTAATGATTTACTTTAATAGACCTGTCACATGTTTGAATATCAAATTAACTTCAGATTAGCTTAACATAAAAAACAAAAACATGGAAAGATTCGGAAATGCTTTAGATAGAAACAAGAGAAAGGAATGGTCCCAACTCTATATACCGGCTACTGACAATACAATGATCCGGAAACTCAAAAGAGATAAACGTAACTAACAACAAATGAAAAAAAATCAAGTTTGGTGTGACCCAAGCCAACCCAAGTGAGAAAAAAAAAAAAGGGAATAGCTTGGTCTTTAAATAAATAGGAACCAACTTGGCATGTGCTTCGCGGATTCGAGGTTTGATTGAGGGTTACGTGGGTAGCAGCCATATCAAATCACGTCCACATATCATATTTTCAGCAGGAGGTGGGGCTTTAATTTCATCCTACTTTTGTTGATTCTCTATCGTAATTTGTTTGCTTTAGACTTGCATTGCACTCTGGTCCTGCCTTATTCCTTTCTATGCCGTTTCAAGCTGGACCATGAATGGGATGCAAACTTCATTTTCAATTGTAAATTCTTCCTCTCTGTTGTAAATATTTGTAAAATTTCTGTTAACAGCAATGGTATGAACATCAAATACATGTGTTTTTTGGGTCAAGCTACTGAAAACCAAATCTGTCACTGAACCGGTCAAGATACAAGTTCAATGATTAATGTTCAAAACCAAAATCAAATCATAATTAGATTGGTCATAAATAAATCATTTTATTAAACGGGTGAAAATATTGATTTGATGATTAACCAGTTCAACTGGGATAGTTGATTATGGTTTTTTGTGTATGCCTTCCCCAACTCTTGCCTGGCCAATGGTATAAAACCAGCATGTCGTTTTCTAATTAAAGTCATCCGTGTGCATGTGTTTCAACTTTCTGATTCCGTCGATATTTAGAAGTTCCTTGTCATATTTTATTTTTCTTATCTGGACTTGTGTCTTGTTTTGGTTTTCCCCTAAAACTTGATATCATTAAAATAAAGTAGGCCTCCGAAGTTTTTATGTTGAATCCCAATGACAGAAAACAAAATGGTGTCTCTGAAATTTCGATAGAACAAATGAAGGAGTGGGCAGGTTGGTCTGAGAGTGAGATAATCTGTTGATCTACAAAACTTGAGAATATAAAATTATCTCTCCTGAAATATTGACTGAAGCAAATGATAAGTTTTTCTCAACTAAGTTGCTATATGTTGAAATCCGAATTGTTTAAGTAACAAGAGCTTCTACATTTACATCAACTTTAATTGATTATTTCTTTTTTATTCAAATAAGCAAAAGGTCATTTTTTTTCCCATGTTTTTCCTTCATTTTCTTCTTTCCTACTTTCTCTTTTTAATTCAAATAAGAAAAAAAAATCCTTCATTTTCTTTCCTTCCATCTTTTCCTTCCATCCAAATTAAACAATCAAAAATTTTTGTATAGATCCAATGCACTATGTCATTCATACTCTATCGAATAAAAATATATCATGTCTAGTATAAATATAAGTTTACTTTGCTATTGATGATAATAGAAAAAGAAAAGACAAAAGATTAAAGAGGTGCTCAATTTTAAAAATATAATCATTAAAAATAATTACATATAAAATTTTATTTGAGTGAAGTAAATCATGACATGTTTTATTATATAAAACATGGATAATGAGATACACCAATTCAATGAAAGAATTTCTCACAAGGGTAAAATTGTTTATCCTCTTAATTATAATTTTTATCATTATTATATTTAATGTAATGATTATATATAGTTATATTATATATATCCCTTAAAAAAAGTGTCAAATAATATATCCCTTAAAAAAAGTGTCAAATGGCCTTCACGGCGTCCTCCACTGGGATACTGATGGTAATAAATCAATTAGCACAGGAGATCCAACCTCCTAACTAACACGATTAATTTAAGCGGTGGGTGACTCTATTAGTTTATTTTTACTTTCTCTTTTTTTTTTCCCCTTTTTCCTTTTCATTTTTGCAGTTGGCTTGAAATGATTGGATACTTTTAAAAAAGGTTTATTGATATGTAAAATATTATTTAAAAATATCTTATAATTTGAGACAGAGAGAGCATAAAAGGACCTCAAAAACTACAAAAAAAAAGAACTAAAATTACAATAAATGACTCAAAAACTACAGACAATAATCTAAAAAATTACAAGAAAAGATTACAAATTGATATTTTTTTTATTTTTTGATTAATTAATGGTTAATGTTAATTTTTGTTAATGACAAAGGTCAGATTGAATCATTTTTAAAAGTTAAAAAAATAATTTACATACTAAGTGAATTCATAATCTATAACCTAAAATTCAAGAAATAACTTGCTCATTTACATTTCTTTTTTAAAAAGAGGTTCAATTATTGATTTGGCGCCTAATTTTTGTCAATATTTAGCTCCATCTTTACTTCAAATCCACTCTTGGATTAGATCTCAAATATTTGACCTTTTTTTTTCATTTCAGATCTTTTAGAAAAGCAAAATATAAAGTAAGTCTCGATTTTTTCCCATGCAATTTCGTTATCCCACCTTTTTTTATTAAAATAATAAAATAATTCCTTTTATGTGTCAGCTGTATGATATCAAATTTCTTTTTGCTGAAAAAAAGAGAATGTTATACACGTTTTTCTTTCTTTCTTTCTTTGTTTTTTTTTTTTTTGGGTTTCCAAGTCCAAACTTACCCCTTACAAGTGTTGCATTGTTTGACGGTGGTCCCACTTTGATATGAATTTTAAAAGTAAAAAAATAATTTGGATCGAGAAATTAATATAAACAAGTGAGAAATGTGATGTGGCTGCAAAAGTTAAGTAGTGACGTGGAATGAAGATATGGAGGATGACAAGAAACACTCGTATGTGTGTGTGATGGGGGAAGTTTGAATATCCAAAACATAGTAATCATATTCAGATACACTGATTTGAAAAAGGGAAAGGCATGATTCAGCAATGAGGATGTGTAGGTGAGACAGGAAGTGATGATTACAGACTCAGGTCCCACTCCTTTGTCTCCTTCTCTTTCTTCGTTACCCTCTGCATCTCCCTCGCCAAGCTCCCGCTCCATTTTTCCTCCTTTTTAGGCAACAATATTTTTTCTAATTTCATAAATATAATTTGAATTTATCTATTAAATCTCAATTGAATAAAATTGA